GATAATCCCCACACTCGAACTTTAAGTTTGGGAGAAATATTATGATGTGCAAAGTTTGGATGAAATCGGAACGGCCTGGCAGAGAAACGGAACATGGGTTCTAAACCCAATAGTTCGATGAAACAAATTTTTGTCGTAGCAAAGTGTATATACCCTCAATAGCCATAAAGGAAAGGGTATAACAAGTTCTCGATCCTTACATTCCCCTAAATATCATCAGATCACGAAAAAAAATTATAGGCGGCGCCCTTGACCATTTGACCCGTAAAATATTGACTTTAAATATTAACCGATCATTACCATAAACAATAGGGGTCTTCATTGACCAGGACTGAACCTAAATATAAAATTTCGTGACGATTGGACTGCGATTGACTCAGCCAGTCGAGGTATATGTAGTGTATAAATCTATAATTCATAAAAATGCAGGAAATCTTTATTCAAATCAATAGTTGTTGAAGATTATTTCCTGCAAATGTTTACCTTCTCTTAGTCCAATTTTGGCATACTTTTTTTAATATTACTCATATTTACGTACTCAATGGTACAAAAATAAGCTTCGTTGCTAAACACAATTTTTTGGTCAAAAAAGTGGATCTTCAGTCAACATTACGCCAAAAATACTTTTCGATATAAATATAAATTATAGGGCAAACTAAATATGTTCGACGGTGCAACAAAATGTGATCGATATAAATTATATTTAATTTTAATTTTTAAATTAAATAATGAAAAATTGTGTCATTCGGTTTTTACCATGTTAAGGAATTCGTCGGAATATTAATGAGGTATTTTTTAGATTTTGTAAAGAATATTAAAAAATTACAAGGTATTTAGATAGGTAATCGATCTCATTGACAATAAGAGTCTGTTTTTTTTTCAATAAATCACGTCATGTCTTACTCATTTTTTTGCGTGGGCGAAATTTCACCTTATGCCTAAGAAATCGAGACTCTTAATTAATTATTTTGGCCATTTTTAATTAATTAATTCAAAGTTCGTATTCACTACGTCACAAGTGTTAAGTGTAAAAAAACAACACAGAACTCAAGAAACAGCAATGTCAGTCAGCTAGACGAACACAGTTATCAATCATAAACTGGTTTTTAAGTAAAAAACAAACACAAGCTCCACAGTGTCATTAAATATTTAACATTTTGGTCACGTTTTTATTTAAATGTTTAATTTTGATTGTTTAAAGTCACATCTGGTTTTTGTGTTAAAATGGTGAATACTATGTTGTAGTTATTACTTTTTTATGTATTATTATTTTTTTAATAACTTGAAAGTAATAAATAAAAATATAAATATGAGTTTTTTTGGGTTATGTGCTGCGTATTGGGCATTAGGAATACAATTATAATCAGTATTTGAAGAATTACATAGCAATAATAAAAAATATATTGTTGGGAAAAAATTGCCCGGAATTAAACTTTCTGCAATACCAAAATCTGAAAATTGCAAAATATATAAGTGTAGAGCTATGTACACCAAATAGAGCCCTTCGACTCTCTGAAGGGCTCTGTCCGGTTTCCATTTCCAGAAATGATTGGAAACTCATTTAAAGCGGGATTATAGCAGGTCAGAATATTCTACAAAAATGTTCGCCATAATGTTTTACTACATGTCTAAGAATATACCAAAGCTCAAAAATCAGCCCAAACGTCAAAAATCTTAAAAACATAAAAAATCATTCTAGGGTTAAAACCGATCTGATGCTAACAAATTAAACCGGCTTTATTTTCAAGAGTTTTTGAGATTTTCACTTGAAACTTTAAAGGAACATCATCGAAAGAAATAGGAAAACAAAATTCAACTGTTGGAAACATTAATCATTTTGAGGTAATTTTTGACCACTTTTTGGCACATACTGGGCGGTATCTCAGCAATAACTTTACGAATGTTGATTTTAAGGTAATAAAAAGCGGGAACTAAGCGGTTTTTGTGTAGCACCACAAAAAAGTCGCGTGATCTTAGTGGCCAGTTGGACGGGAAATTTCGTGACCAGGAAATGTATTTTGCAATATAGCCATATTCGCTCGAGTTGTGAGGCTTATGGCACCTTTTTGTTGAAACCCCATATTCTCGAGGTCGTATTCTTCAACAGCATGTAAAAAAGTCGGTTATCATGTAATACGCTCCGTATTGACAGTCGTCCTACAATCGTTTTGGAGGAAGTAAAGTAAAATAACAAATTAAGACGAAACGTTAATTGTTTTCTGGATGCAATGGCCTCTGTTCAGTTACTTAAGCATCCTCAGAACCCCAAATATGACCTTTTTATAACCAACTATTTTAGCATGGTATTAAAACTTTGTGTGGCCTCAAGAGAGCATACCGATCGTCATGTCTCTATGAGCTGAATCGAGGTAGACATGTCTATCCGTCTGTCCATCATCACGAAAATTTGCGTGTAGGACGAGTTCTGGTTATTATCGGTTTCTATTTTTGTATGTTTTTCTGGTCGTCTGGTGTATAGATATATGGAAACCAGTAAGGCAAGATCTAAAGTCGAATGGAGCCGACCACTTTGGGTACATACAAGAGATTATATTGTGTACAAAATCTGTAGATAGAAAAGACATAGCACCTTTGGAAGACCATTGAAATGGAATCAGGCGAAAATAAGTTGTGATCTACATAGATATTTTAACCAATAAAAAAACCATACACATACCATTCTGAAATCTATGAAAATGTTCATGTCAATAGGGCAGACTTGGATTTTTTTGGTGTAACATTTGTATGCAATCCTGCAAAATTATGTATGGGAGCTATATGTAAATCTGAACCAACTAAACTTCACAGAAATCAAACTGGACTTAATTCAGTTGCCGTGCAAAATCTAAACCGGTTTCAAGAAAACATCGCAGGTTCCAAGCTGGACTTAATAAAGTACGCTGTGTAACATTTTGTATAAATTGAACAAATATTGGGAGTTTGGTGCAGCATATACCTAAAATCGATTGAAACTATATATGGGAGCAATATCTAAATCTGAACCGATTTCAACAAAACTTCACAGACGTCAAATTGAACTGAGTCCAGTACGCTGTGCAAAATGTTGTCTCAATCAGGTAAACCCTAAGAGTTTACTGCACCATTTACATAAAATCGACGAAACTACATATTGGAGCTATATCGAAATCTGAACCGATTCTAACAGAACTTCATAGACATCAAACTGGACTTAATTCAGTATGCTGTGCAACATTTTTTGGAATCATGCACTATTTACATAAAATCGGATGGGAGCTATATATAAATTTGAACCTATTTTCCAATTTCAATAGGGTCCGTCTTTGTACCAAAAAGTGACTTATAAATGCGACCTGTACTTTTTTTATGCATATTCTTAAAAGGAACCCATTCTCTATCTACTAAAATCTAGAGGTCACGTGCACCGGTATTTGAAAAATTTACGTCGTGAAGTAACCTAAAATGGGAGGACAATATTTCCCATTTCCAAGACATTTGAAAATATTCGAATTAAGATTTCTCGAAATCCTGTACTTTTTTGACCTGTACTTTGTTTACAAGATTTATCTACAGACGGACGGACATGCATAAATTGACTTAGAAAGTGCTTCTATGCGTATTCCCAAAAGGAACCATGGGTCTATTTCGTTTCCTTTTTACCTGTATCACAGTGTGGTGAAGGATAAATACGCCGTATGTCAGACCTAATTCCTGAGAATGGCGAGGATTCAAGACATTCGGGTCTTTGGGAATACTTTCACTTACAATATTTACAACATTTATATTTATAACAGCTACAACTTCTTCAAATGTAATCACAATTTTGCTCATTGCTTGCGTAGTTGTCGCTCCACCATCCTTTTCGATCCATTCACACCTTCGGAGAGAGCGCACCAAACAGTGACATTTTCTGCCTATAATGACCTCCCTTCAATTACTTGAGGATTATTAGAACCCCAAATACAAAAAACGTGTTTGCAGAAAATAATCGATATAGGTCCATGTTTTGACATTGTGCTCACATAAAGATACCGGTTCTCTCTCAGCACTTTGATGATTTTAACTGGATATTACCACAAAAGTGGCTGTAATGTGGCAATCCGACATTTATACAGAATGACTCGTCACGTTTTCAGTACATTTTTAAATGTGTATATTTCAGGTCATCAAAAATAGTAGTTTTGGATTTTCAGGGTATTGGTTTAGGCTTCAGTAGAGGTCTTGGACATGCTGCTGGACTTAAAACCGGCAAAGGCGCGGCATTCGCCAGTGACATGTTTTATATGTGGCACTAAAGGTGGTTATGGTGGTGGCGGATTATGCGGTTGTTATGGAGGTAGCGGTTTATCTGATTCCGGAGGTTATGGTGGCGGCGGTTTATCTGGCGTCGGGGGTCATTCTGGTTCTACTGCTGCAGGTGGTGGACATGCTTCTGTTTCATCATCAGCCTCAGCAAATTAACAATATACCCAGAAAATAATTGTAGACATACCCGCTTTGAGTAAATTTTTTATTAAAAAATTATTTGCCGAAATTGTCAATACAGACCCATATTTGGACCTAGATCTCATATATAAGTCACGAAAGATTTCTATAGCCCGAATTCTGGTGGAAATTTTTAATTATTTTTTCGTGTCATTTAAAATGACATCTGAAATATTAAAGTGGAGGCACTGTTTATCTAGATTTTTTTATTGCATCCAAAATAGTCAGTGCTGGTAAGGAGGAGTTCCGAAACCAGAAGAATGACTATTATAAAATTAGAATATATAAAAAATCCAACAACAACAAAACCATTATTATTTATTAAATTGATTGTCACCGTTTTTTCTGCTTCCACTTGTTGTTTTAAAGTTTGTTTGTTTTTTTTTTGCGGTACTGAAACAGCGTGAGATTTGAAATATTGTCGAATCCAAAGCAAAACAAAAAAATCAAGAAATATATTTATTGCATTCTGTCAATTTGAAGATTTCTATAAAAGAAGACTAAATTAGCTACGGAAGCATAGAAAGTTGAGAACAATGACAGGATTAACAGTAGTCGGACTATTAGCAGTGGGTCTTGCACTTGCAAATGGTGAGTTGTTATTTTGGATGTACATCTAATGGAAAGTAACGATTTGTGTTTTGTGGATTCCAGCATATGGAGCTGGTGGAGGTTCCATTACAGGATCTGGAGCTAGCGCCATTGCTAGTGCTGTTGCCAATGCTGCTGCATCGGCTGGTGGCAAAGCTGGTGCCCATAGTAGTGCAAGTGCCTCGGCTGGTGCTTCTGCAGGAGCTGGTGGTGCATTGGGAGGTGGCTATGGATCTGCAGGTGCATCTGGTTCGGCTGGTGTAGTAGGTGGTTCTGGCCATGGTTCTGCCAGCAGTAGTGCTAGTGCCAGCGCAGGAGCCGGAGGTGCAATTGGTGGTGGTGGTATTGGAGGAAGTCATGGTGCAGGTGGTGTTGGATTGGGTGGCGGCCATGGATCAGGAGTTGGTGGCGGACTTGGTGGTTCTGGATCAGCTGGAGGTGCCTTGAGTGGTGGTATTGCTGGAGGCCATGGTTCAGGTTCTGCTGGTGGCCTTGGAGGTGGTTTAGGTGGCGGCCTTGGTACCGGTGTTGGAGGGGGCCATGGTTCAGGATCAGGTTTTGGTCTTGGAGGTGGATTAGGCGGTGGTCATGGAAGTGGTTCCGGTGGAGGCTATGGCTCAGCAGGTGCAGTTGGTGGTGGTATTGGATCTGGTGCTGGTCTTGGAGGTGGTTTAGGCGGTGGTCATGGAGGTGCTTCTGGTGGAGCCTATGGCTCAGGAGGTGCAGTTGGAGGTGGTATTGGATCCGGCTCTGGTCTTGGAGGTGGATTAGGTGGTGGTCATGGTGGTGCTTCTGGTGGCGGTTACGGCTCAGGAGGTGCAGTTGGTGGTGGTATTGGATCCGGTTCTGGTATTGGCGGTGGATTAGGTGGTGGTCATGGAGGTGCTTCTGGCGGAGGCTACGGCTCAGGAGGTGCAGTTGGTGGTAGTATTGGATCCGGCTCTGGTCTTGGAGGTGGATTAGGTAGTGGTCATGGATCCGGTTCTGGTCTTGGAGGTGGATTAGGCGGAGGTCATGGATCCGGTTCTGGTCTTGGAGGTGGATTGGGTGGTGGTCATGGAAGTGGTTCTGGTGGAGGTTATGGCTCAGGTGCTGGAGTTGGCGGAGGCATTGGATCAGGTTCTGGTCATGGTGGTGCGGGAGGAATCGGTGGTGGATTAGGTGGTGGTCATGGTGCTACTGGTGGCAGTGCTAGTGCTGGATCTTCAGTTGGCGTTATTGGCGGTGGTCATGGTGCTGGACTAGGCGGTGGAGCCGGCGGTGGATCAGGAGGCGGTTATGGCTCTGGTAAAGGTGCAGGTGCAGGATTGGGTCTCGGTGGCGGCATTGGTGGTGGACATGGAAAAGGTGGCGGTTTCAGCATCGGTGGAAGCATTGGCGGCGGTCATGGTAATGGTGCTGGTTTGGGCATCGGTGGCGGAGTTGGTGGTGGAAAAGGTCATGGTTTAGGCCTCGGTGGAGGTCTTGGACATGGTGCTGGACTTATAGCCGGTAAAGGAGCTGCCATCGCCAGCGGCATTACATCATCCATAGCTTCTGCTATATCTGGAGCTAAAGGTGGTTACGGTGGTGGCGGATTATCCGGTGGTTTTGGAGGTAGCGGTTTATCCGGCGCCGGTGGCCATTCGGGCTCTATTGCTGGAGGTGGTGGACATGCTTCAGTTTCATCATCAGCCTCGGCATCTGCCTCATCAGCATCGAAGGGAATTTCCGTTGGATATGGCAAATAAATTATATCCAGGAAATAGTTTTAGACCTGCCTGTTTTGAGTAAATTTTTTATTAAAAAATAGAGCTTCAATTACCTCGTAAAATATCCTCCTTTTCAAGTATTTGTTCCATTTTTAAATATCCATCACTTATAAAGCAACAACATATTGTAAACAAAATAATATCAAACCGTCATTTAAAAAAACGAAATAAAGTCCTGGTCATTTCGTGGCAAAAAATGTTATCTATAAAATTTCACGTTAAAATAGCAACAACAACACCAACAAAAAACTCCGATTACAATTAAAAATTGAAATCAATGGTTTCACATCCACCCATTGTTGTTTTGTGGTTGTGCGGGTATTACGATAGTGGTTTAGGCATTAGGGTAAGCATTTCT